TCTCCACCTGGTGTGCAGCCCCAATCTCAAGTCGTCGCAGACCCAATTTCCTGTGACATATCTCTGACATTGTCCTTCTTGCAAGAGCTGTTGGATAAGGGTCGTTCCCCTTCCATGCTCAAGGTCTATGTAGCAGCCATAGCAGCCTCTCGCGTGAGCTGGCCAATCGGTGGGCAGAAACAACTTAGCTGTTCGTTTTCTGAAAGGGTCTAGGCTCAACCCAACTCGCCCCATCACCGTCCCTACATGGGATCTGCCCACGGTGTTGAGGGCTCTGAAGAGCCCTCCCTTTGAGCCGCTACAGTCCATTGACCTTCATTCCCTGACGCTCAAGACCGCTCTGCTACTAACATTAGCATCGGTAAAGCGTATGGGAGATCTGCAGGCGCTCTCTGTGAGCCCCACCTGCCTCGAGTTCGGGCCCAACGACTCCAAGGTCGTCCTGAAGCCGAGGCATGGTTACATACCTAAAGTGTTCTCTGCTCCGTTAAGAGCTCAGATGATAACTCTATACAACGACAGAGATACGGGAACGAGTACTGCGTTGCTAGCCGTGCTATGTAACTGCACTACTCAGTAGTCACTTCAGTCGAAGTAATCTGAGGATCCTATGGCAAAATGCCCGCTTAAATAGCCAGATGGCCCCGCCCATTCTGGCAGGCTCTGCTGCTGAGCCATTGGTTCGTTTTTTATTCACTGCACGAACCAATGGCCATGCAGTTACACTGCGTTATTGAAAGGCTTCAGTCATCGGAGAAAAAGGAGTTTTCCCCGTAGCGTCTTAGCAGACGCAGTACTCGTTCCCGTATCTCAGGGAACAGAGGTTAAGTCAGTAACAGAGTACGTTCACTTTGGCTCATTATGTTAAGACCTTACTAATAGATACCTGTATATTATTTGCTCTTTACAGGTGCAGAAATGAAAGCTTCCAGACAAAGATATCACCGGATTAGAAGTGGAAAGACATGTTACATGTAGCAACTATATGATATAATGTAATAATGTACATAATGTAAAAACTGCACATAATGTAATAAATATTACATTATTGTAATAAAATGTTCATAATGTAATAATTTTCTGAAATGTAATAAAATCTTGAGCTCATAATGTAATAATTTTTCAATGTAATACATTTTTTTCACATAATGTAATCACAGTTCATAAGTTAATACCAGCACATAATTTATCTATGACATTAGACTTTGGAAACTTTTATTAGTTTTTTCCAAATGTATTCATAAAAAATACCTTCAATTCAAGGACAGATAATTTAGTAGGGGCGCAACTGAATTGTTCCTAGCAATAATTTTGATCAATTAAAATATATTTATATGTAACCACTGTCGTTGTCATCATACCATGGACATTACCTGAGAAGTTAAAGTAAATACATCAGCAAACTGCACTCTTTCAAGGACGTGTATTTAATGCATGGCCAAAGAACATAATCTAAGTGTTTAAAACATGCAAAGTAGGACTGCAAACTGTTCCCGTATTTAAGTAACATTCCATATTAAATCCATACAGAAAGCAGTTTA